ATGTTCTATCTAAAGAATGGCCCGTTCCATCTGCTGTTGGCCATGGAACACGTGTTCCATTGCGGGTTACCTGAGGTCACATTGCACGTAAGTCGTGCGTAATGACCCACACATTCAATTTTATGTGCCTAAGACCTTCAAAATGTATCAAATCTCATCATTGTTAGTATTTGCATACCTGTAATAAGATTAGTAAAGCTTTCGAGATTCAATGTGCTTGTTCTTGCATCTTTGTTCTCAATTACATAGCTACTATATAATTCATTTATTTGAGAATCTTTGCCAGTTTTACACTGGGGTAAGTTTGGAATAGTCCACTTTTACGTGGGAGGGAGATGGACTGAAATATGCTGTATTTGCTCCCAAGCAAATGTCGGCCTCTCTAGTAAAAAATACTTCTTCATAATGAATTTTACCATGCCCGGTGCATTTGTATTGTCCATTCCTAACGACATAAAAGTTCCTAACGACGTAAAACGCTAGTCCAGAATGTCGTAAAATTTTTCTTCGCGACCAGTCGAACGTTTGTTTGGTATGTTAAGTTAATTGTACTTGTGTTCACCTAGTATAGTAGTAGTCTTTGGGCCTGTAGATAACAAACCGCTAGATGTCCGTGCTACAAGTATAACATATATGTTTGATGCCCATAAATGAGTGTGCGTACCACATCTTCCTGGTTTTCGAAGTTCGTCATTGTTCCATAGTTTTCTGATGCAGCCGCGTTGTCTTGAAGTTTCTCTCCTGTCCCTTCTCCTCTGAAATCAGATCCGAGAACTCTACAACACAAAGATGTCATTAGATAAACCTTAGATACTGATGCTTCAAATACAGGGTGCATCGATTTGTTTGATTGCATTTCAGATTATTACAAACATACGACTCATATATAATATTATCAATATCAAACATTGGACCCCTTAATTGTCGTTCGATGTAAATGTTAGACTGTAAAATTGAAATCACATTCTGTATTACTTGGTTGAGATGTTGCTGATCATCAGACAATGTAGAGAAAACAAAGTCTGAAAATACCCATACAATAGAGCCAATGATTGGCAAAAGCTTTACGTTTTGAAAAATATAACACACATCTAAACGAAAGAAAACTTGGCAAAGTAGTGGGCAAATTCAACGTATAAACTATAAACTATTAACTTTTAATTAAAATTCACCAAGAGAGTGAGTTACATGTAGAAAATGTGGAGGAGGATACAAATGCATACACACAATGACGTATTATTATAAAATATAAACCAAACCAACAACATAAACCAAAACAACAATGTTTTATACACAGATTATACTCAAACCTGCCTGAGATTAATCTCGTCAACGGCAGTTATCTGGCCCGCCTTACGGCCCTGCTGTCTGGTCTCCTCCAAGAAAAAGAAACCAACTGTACCGGAGACAAAACGTGAAGGGGTTTGGGAACTTTTGTCAATTCAATTTTTAAAAAAACTTCTTAGAGTTGAACACTTACTGAGTGGATTTTTCAACAGCCTAACTAGGATAACTCAAGAAATTCTGAGACGCTCATCAAACGTGAAGTGGGCAATATGTCCAATGTGCTTAAAACAGTTAAACAGTTCAACTATTTCCTAATTGTATTATATCATCATAGATAAGCTTTGTGGCATTTATGTTACAGTATCGTATATATATATTAAAGTAATGCTTTTCAATCAATATTTGCCAGAAAGATTTGGTCTAACATGACAGACCTAGTAGCCCTACGAGGGCCACCAGCATGGAGGCAATGCAGGGCAGGAGGTACGGGAAGCGTCTGAAGACAGGTGTGTCAAGGGATGAGAACCTGGCGGCAGGGCAGGACAGGAAGCCACCTACTGTTGGACCCTGGCGGCAGGACACATGGCATGTTAGTGGTGCAGACAACATGGCATGTTAGTGGTGCAGACAACATGGCATGTTAGTGGCGCAGACAACACGGCATGTCAGTGGCGAAGAAAACATGGTATGTTAGTGGTGCAGACAACATGGCATGTTAGTGGCGAAGAAAACATGGCATGTTAGTGGCGCAGACAACATGGCATGTTAGTGGCGCAGACAACATGGCATGTTAGTGGCGAAGACAACATGGCATGTTAGTGGTGCAGACAACATGACATGTTAGTGGTGCAGACAACATGGCATGTTAGTGGTGCAGACAACATGGCATGTTAGTGGCGCAATGTTTTCTTTATTACATGTTGGGAAGGAGTTTTAGTCGCAGGCAGACTGAAAGCCTCAACTGGGAGTCATCATAACAGGCCGAGAAATGCTGCTGATTGTCTATGACTTCAAAATAGATGTCTTCACGTTGCAGGTAATGTCAAAATTTTATCACCAAATTTTGATTCCCATGAATAATAAAGGACCTAACGAATACTGTATTTTTAACAAGGATTGACAGGGGTAAACAAAAACATAAAAACATAGCCAACAATGGTAAATTTATCGTGTTTCCACACATATTAACAATCCGAAACGCACTATACAGATCTGCTCCTCTGTTTTCTCTTACCTTACCTCTTCTGGTCAAACATTTATATACATGTACATTAAAGTGCAATATCTGAAATAGCATTTTGGCAAGAGAGGCTACCATTTGCGAGCCAAGGCAATACATATTACTCCGGGTAAGGAGCCATGATCATGCAGTAAACGATTTATATATTTGGCCCCTGTACTCTGGTGAATTAAACACCTTTATTTTATGTGCTCTATAAAGCTGACTACAAGTCATGGAAATAAAGCAAAAGTAAACATTTTGTTGACTTGCCAAAACTTAACATACTAAGGCCACACCAATGACAGGGCGAAAAAAAATGAGAACAGGTCTAGACATCATATCATAACCCCAAATGCTGCCCAAATGCCATCAAGTCAACACAAAGTTGTTAATATTTAAAATCTGAATTTTGATCTTTTAATCAAACCACTGCATTGATAGATCACAAAACTGTAACAACTAGGAAGAAAAGGACGTTCCTCAACTGTTGTGGGCAAAATAGTTACGTTTTTAGTTGATTCAGAACCAGAATCTTTTCCAAATTAGAAAAGAAATGAAGAGGTGAACCCGAGAACCAACAAATTAAATTGGTGTTGCATAAGTTTTCAAATTCTCGCTTTTTAAGGCTGATGTAGATGCACATGCAACAACAAAATGGCAGTAATCCTCAGTTTTATCTAAATTAAAATATTGGCAAATTCTTTTCTGTAAAGGAATGTTGTAATTTCTGGCTTTTTCAATTTGAGGTTTGTGCGAACTAATCATTTATATTTAGGAAGGTAAAATTGTCTCCCCCTATACTTAGTCAATCATGGAGCTTAGCGTGCGTTTATCCTATAGAGGCGCATTGAAATTGTACTGTAAGTTGAAGCTTTACAGTCAAGATATGTCTCAGGGCTTCAGATAGAATACTAAGTAGATAATTCTACATTATTCTCTGGTTAAGGGGAAGATTACAGAGTAGATCTTCATTTTAATAGAATAGTCTAGCAGTCAAATGGGTTACCGTGGGTGCATGTAGCTGTAGGTACACTGCATTTGGAGAAGCTACAACAAAACTGTACTTACCACCACATACGCCAGTCCGCTAGCAACAGACACTACAGCAAACGCTAAAGCGTGCATCTTCGCAGGGCACACCTAAAGGACGCAGATGGGACATGTTAACTCTATAAACACATACTGCAGCTCATTAGAATTGTATTTTCTATGTCTGGCGCTGTTTTTTCTATGTTCTCTCGATTTGGTTCCAAAAGTTGAGGTCGATATTAAGTGTTCCAACACAACCATAACTCACATCGCTGCGGTGGTTTCTCAGCGTCCAATAGACCCATGCATTTGGGTGTTCATGATATGAGCTAGGCTTTAGAAGTCAGACTTAGTATCAGTGATCATCGGAATCTCGTGTGATTTGAACAACTTCTGGCATTTTACTCCGATACTGAACATATATGATTGGGTTGACTGTACAGACAAATACGTTTGATGCCATAGTTCGTACCGTGAGCAATTGTTGTGCAATCAGGTTTATATTATGTTAGCATGTTTGAATGTGGTCACGATAACTTAAGGAACTATAGATGAATTGTCATGAAACAAAGTTATCAAAGAAATAGTCCCCTGGACCCCTGGCGGAATTTTTGGGAACTACTGCAGATCTTCAGGTTTTGATATCTCTCGTCCAGGGCATGCGAGCTTGATGTTTAAACATGAAAGCTCCCAAATAAATAAAACAATTAATTCAGGCCCTCTAATAGGTTTAACGATGGGCCAATCTATCATATTCTGCTGATTCGATAAGATACAGTAGTGCTATTACTATCAATGTTTTCACCACGGGAGTAATTATGTTGTAATTCCGTCACACCTGTTATCACCAGTAAAAGTTGTTGTCACGGCTTGCGATTGGTAGATTTTAAACAAATGTTCCTAATTCTCGACCTTTTGGTAGTACCTAAAGGGGTTTTTACAACATTCCGTATAATATCCAAATTTCGTTATTAAAATCGTAGACTCAACTTAACCCTATCTAAACTTTTTTGGAATTCGTGGGAGGGGGGGGGGGTGGTCATTCGCCCCCACCCATCAGAACACGTGAACGGTATATCGTATGATCACCAAATTTTGAGAGGATAGTGGGCTAGTGAAAATTAATAACAACATTTTTGATGCAGTTACGACGTAAAATGACGTATATGTTGTGAAACCTCAGAGGGAGTCGAGGTACACATAGAACCGCCTGGTCATTCAGTCTCACTGGACAAAGTAAGAATCCTGGACTCAGAACCGGATTTCTTTGCACGAGGGATTAAAGAGGCCATCTACATCAGGGCATTACAACCATCCCTCAACAGAGACGGGGGCGCCACAGACTTTCTACAACCTATGATCCACTGCTCACGGAGTCACGTGTGTTACCTTCATGACGTCACGGAAGCGGTTGATTGCTGATTCCTTGACAAAGACTGGAGTTGTACAGTCGAAAATTTGGGTGAGTCCAATTTCTTGTGTTGGAAATTACAGTTTAAACTTGCTGCATAATGGTATACAACATCATTTTAACAAAAAGTGTCTATAATAGACTTATGTTGCCCGCAGCAACACCTATGACGTCCTAAAATGAGGTTATTTAAGGTATCCGCCATATTGGATTATCAATCTTGAATTTTGAAAAATATATTTTTTTGAAGACAAAGCCTGAAATACATTTAGACTAAAGTCGTTAATATGAAACCTTTTTAGTAAAAAAAATGAAAGTAGTGATGAAATTTTAATCACCTGTCTATACCTTATCTAATGATATGTTCCTCCATCTTGGATTTAGACCAATGACGTCATCAAATTAGCATAGATTATTCATTTTCAATGATAAAATTTACATAAAATTACAGTAGATGCTATTTATATTAGAAATCATGTGTAACTTGACATAAACCCATAAAATTCTATTTTGAAACGAAAATTACTGCTGAATTTCGCAAATAAAAAATGCCTGCCAGAAACATGTTGGGATTGCAACACAAAAATCATCAACCTTTTCCGCTGATACGAAATTCTTGCCAACTATATTTTAGGAAAAGTCACTACGTTTGGTGGTTCTACCTCAAACGGTTTATACGCTATCTGACATCAAATTTGGCGCGGGCACTTTTAGCCTCCTCCCGGTCTAGATAGGGTTAAGATATGGCATTCAGCTGTCCTACCTCGTAGAGATAAGTCTTGGCGATCCCGAGGGTCCCAGTGAGAAGTCCTCCAAGGAACAGGGTAAACACGGCCCAGGCAAACGAGAAACTGGCGGGAAAATAGAAATGTGATATCAACTTCTCAATTACACAACGCTGTACTGTAAGCTGTCGTGATGTAGAAAATTATATCTATAGAAGCTGTTAAACAACATTTCTAGTTTTAAAGAGTGCAAAAAAAATGCCAGTATATGAAGTATTGGTGTTACCATTGTCCGTCGGTATTGTTATCTGAAATTTTATTTGCACTTGTAAACGTTTACTGACAATATTTTATACATTTAATGTTATGGTTTATTACTCCGTGAAGGAGGTCAGGACCTCCGGACGGAGTGTTGTGAACGGCTGATTTTTCATGTTCGCAGTCAAAACACTGGGTTCTCTTTTCTCAATTTTATACGCCGTCTGCGGGCATGCCCGTGTTGATGCAAGAATGTGTGTTTTTGCCGTTGCTGCTTTCGCGGTCAATGTAATATTGCAGACGCACCCCTACAATTACGAGGCGAATTGGAATGGTCCAGAAAAACGCGTTGTTTGGAATAGCAGTGGGGGGTGGAACTTCATGCAGATACGGGGTGGTTTTTATAAGTGGTTCCAGATTTTTTGCCCATGGTTAAGAGATGGCAAGTTTTTTGGAAGATGTTCGCAGCCAAAACGCATTCTTCCGTACGTCGCATTTCTGTGTAATTTCGCATGTGGTGTGGCATTATGTCCGGGATGATGCACGTCTTTTTATTTTTACCGTAGCTGTTTTGATATTGGAGTAAATGCTTATTCTCGAAACATCCCCATGTCGTTGAAATGTTTTCGTCCGGCCGTTTATGTGACCGGTAGTTGTAAGTCGCGATCATGCTGATGGGGACGGAAATGTGGGGTGGTCAGTGGTCAACATTACGAAATGTAAATACCGATGACGTAATCCTATCGATTTCAAACTGGTGGGCTGTGGCGACCTAGTGGCGGCGTGTATTTAGTCACGTAGCAACTGGCCGGTCGTCCTAGCAACGAGTATGCTGGCCGCTCCACTGTACACATGGCCAATATTTTTGGGTTGGGCCGCTCCATAGTGTTTAAATATAATAGCGGAGCAGCTCTTTGCAAAAATGGACAATATTTTTGAGCAACCCATCAATGTGTTCTGCCTCGTGGTCGGATGTGGTCTGGGGCTGGTAAACCGCACATACTAGTAGATCGGGTAATTTTATGATTTGCTAGTTGTAAAGGCGTCTTGTAGTATGAGCCGGTATATGAAGAAGTAGCTTGTGTTACACAATCATGCTTTCGGCCGGATTGATGTGCAACTGTTACCAATTACAGGGACTGCGCTAATGCCGACCTGTCGCGCTGTCCTGATACACCGCGAATGTTGGGCAACATGCGAGTGTTCCCTGTAGACAGTCCTTGGAGTCATTTTTTTCGCACATTCGCACATTCCAGGAGCCAAACCAAAATACGTTCATGAACCGAGTCCAAAAAACCGAAACATGAAAATCGGATGATCGGACCTGATGTACATTTCTCTTTCTGTAGATTGTACACACAATACACACATCTTTAGAAAATCTGGCCATGGCAGGTAAAAAAAAAGTAACCCTGAATCATACTAGATTAGCGTAAATGCATGTTTATGCGTTCAAAACAAGAAAAGAAATTGTTTCCCGGTATTAATCTCTTGAAACACGGCGCTGAATATTGACGCAACAATATTTCGGGCATCGCGCGCCCTTCCCCATTGTTTAGACTGTATGCAAATCCCGCGTCACGTGTCGGCATTTCGCATCTCTGATTGGTTGTTGCGTCTTAAGATGACTGAGCCGACGTGCGTTTAAACAATTTTTCTTTGTTCGATTTATCACACTTCACAGAGAATTGCCAATGGCTACTTCTTTTTGTTGCAATATATAATACTTCACGGAGAATTGTCACCTATGGCTTCTTGTTACTATTTTAAATTGCTTAATATGACGTTTTATACTGTTTGCTGTTTATCTAATGTCCCATGTCAATTCAGCCTCTGGTTGCCATTTGTGGGACAGTGTTGTTGTGTTTTTAACGCAAATAAACCATTGATATAAAACGGACGCCTGGTAGAACTAAATACTATTACAGTGCGTCTAAGATACCACTTTTATGTACTTTACTTAACTAAAAGTCTGTTTAGCGTACTTTCCGCGTGATTCGGTCTGCTTACCTGAAGCCAAACATCAGAAGTATGAACACCATCATTAGACTTCCAGCCAGGAGAGTTGGTCTGCAAACATAGTTCATACAGAATCAGTGACGAGTTGGAGTAAATTATATACAACAACTTAGACATTTCCTAATGAGTTTTGCTGTTGTAATTCTAACCTGCAAAGACGTTTGACGCCGTGGCTCATTAGAGCACAATAATGTCAAAGCGAACCTGTGTACTGTATACTGACTTCGTAGAGGAAAATGAAATTGAGGCCTTCAAGTTGTAAAGGTTGGCAGTTGAACTCACCTTCGTCCAAACCTGTCAGCTAACTTGCCCCACTGAAACAAGAGAGGGCCATGTGTATGGTGTTCATGTATTGTTATAGCACATTAATAATATAATAAAACTTCAGTCTTTTAACCAATCACCTTAAGTTCAATAGAAATTTATGACATTTCCATATAAGATATGCTTTAAGAGATTATTGCTAGAGCAAGGAATTCAATACACATTTTAAAAACTTTAAACTTGAGCATTGCACATTATGTTTTTTAACTGTGGTGCAAACTGGTATCTGCCACAAGCAATTGTTTAGACATGTCTAAAATACATTAGAACTATGTCAACACTAAATGTTAAGTTATTTTTTAAAATCTTGTATTAGTGGTATTTCAATATTTTGTCTTTGTGGTTATTACCATTATCCTTTGCCCTTGTGTTTTTTTTCCTGTTAGCCACTATAGATTAGGTTTATTTTTTAATGTTTATTTTTGATGCATTGAAACGTTCCCTACCATCAAACTTCCCAGAAATGCTCCTAAATAATGTCCACTCGTCAGGAAACCAGCGTGGTATCCTGCAAATGACCAAAAAATAAACTCAAACACGTAATGCAATTGCCTGACATATATTACAATGTTCCCTGTACATCACAACGACGTTCTCGGAATTAGAATTAGATACAGCAAAGGGAACTAGAAAGGCCAATATTTGCTTTGGAGCAAATATAGCGATGGGTTCACCACATTTTACGACATGGCAGGGAAAGAATGAGAAACACAAGGGAAAACAATGATTTACATTGATATAACTATAATATGAAGTAACATACAACTAAAACAACAGTTGGATAGCTATTCCCTACTTTATTGGTTAGGATTTTTAATTGCATAATGCAAACTGTTGATTTTCAAAAAAAAAAAAAACGTTCATGCCCCGCATTCCAATGCTGGAGCAGAAAAGCTTGAAATACCTACCAAAACACTTGAATAAAGACATACTGTCAGTATGGAAATGCTCTGTGCAGGTGTTAATCAAGTTAAATCCCA